GTGTGTGTGTGTGTGTGTGTGTGTGTGTTCTGAGTTGTCTTTAGCCTTGAATCAAGTATCTTGTTATTGATGTCAACAATGCCTTGTCAGAAAAGTTGGAGTGTGACCTCCAGTGTGAAGGGATTTATGTGATCCTAATGGGAGTTTTAGTCGGGACACTGGGGTTAGTAGCCCCGGCTCTGCTGATAAGTCTCAAGGGTCTTGTCGTAACCGCGAGGAGTGAAGACCTTAAATTAACACTCAAACACTGCAGGATCAACAGCACGAGTAGAAACTATAAAATATTGATCTCTATCTCAAGAAAACTCTTGTGTGCATGAAAAAAAAGTGTGTGGGGGGTGGGGTGGGGTGTATATGGCTTCCACTAGCTTGGGATCAAATGCTGTTATAGTCCTTGTTTTGCTCAGCCATCTTTTTTCTTGTTTGTCTGTCCCTTTCTTCCCTTGTTCCTCGCCACAATATCTTTCATTTCCTTGTTTTCACTCGAGCTACCTTCGTACTCTCAATCTCCCCAGACATGCCTCTTAACACAGCTGATATAGATGTCAACCCAGTGTTTCATGTATATTTCATGTCCCCTAACAGAGCCATCTATATTTAATAGGACAAGATCCTTGCCCTCATAACATTAACCTGACACTGTTTGTTCTTCCATTCCATCTTTCTTTATCTAATAGTAYGCCTAATTCACACGTTTTATTCTTCTTTTTTTTGTAATGCCATTCATCTTTTCACTTTTCAGATGTTACTCTGTCCATCCTAGTTACCTGCATGTTTGGCCTCCATGTTCTTTTTATTTCCAATAAAACGAGGGTTTGCATGCACATTAGTGTCAAGAAATGGCCAATTTTCTTTGATCTGTTTTTCTGTCAAGTCACCCTGAAAGAGCCCATGTGACTTTATTTACATAAAAAGCTATTTGCATCTGAGGAAAAAACATACGGTTTCTCTTTGATGTTAGCTTTGATGATGATGCTTGTGCCCAAAGGCTTTTTACAATGTGTAAAAAAAGAAGAAACTTGAGAAAAGTTGTACTAAATTGACTATTTCATTTAAGTGATATAAGCTGTTCTTTAGAACTTGTACAATGTAAAGATTGCTCGTCTAAAACACCCAGAACCACCTCAGTATCCAAGTGCAAGTGTAATATTATAGTCCTATTCAAGATAACAATATTTATTAGCAAGTTAAAAAAAATCTTGTGTGATCGTTATCTCTTAAATCTTTTTTTTTTTATTTTGCCCCCCTCATTGACACACCCCATATTCTATATATTTTTGGCTGACATCAGTCTTTCTCTCTGTTCTTCCAGTTATCAAAGCATCACCCAACAGGCTTTTAATTTTCTTATCTCCCTGTGACTTTGTCTAGTCTTTTCTCATATCATGTTGACATTTGCACCTGCCTCTTCCTCCTCTCGCAATTAATCAGTCTTTATCCTAATCTTCAGTTTACTCATCTTTTTATTGGTTCTCTGTCAGCCAATTGCTTATGTATGTATGTATGTATGTATGTATGTATGTATGTATGTATGTATGTATTATTTTTCTGCTTTTAGGCTATTTTAAATATGGTAAAAAAACACTCCACACCAAATTTTAAATTCTTTCTATTTTGTAAAAAAGAAATCTTCAACCACAAAATTTTAACCAACAAGTTGGTGTTTCATATGAACTTTGGTGATTTCGGTATCCTGGAGAATTGGAGCTTAATTAAATTATCTGTTTGACTAAACCAGTGCATGCCAAGGACATACWGTACGAAGTGGGATTAAACTGATCTTTATAAAACAGCTATTTCCTAAAAGTAAAACACCAAAAAACAACAAATACTCTAGTGTTTGTAGACTGGACAACGTTTGAAGCACTGACAATTATTTGAGGAACACAGATGGACCAGTCGATATAGGGGTTACAGCTTGGGTTCATACCAGTGAAAGAAAGTTGTGCTCTAAGCCTTCTCGCATAGATTTTTTTCTTCTTTTTTTTCTAAACAATATTAGCTCTTTACACAACAGCACTATTTACAGGCTTTAGGTCAACAGTGATATGTTCCTGTTTTATCCTTCAACCTACAAACTCTGGTCTCACTACAATTTACTTTATGTGTGAAATATCAATACACCAAGATTCTGTAAAGAACAGACTGGAAGTATCTGTAAATGATTGTGTTAGTTTTAACTTTATGGGGCTTTGTGTGTGCATGTTCTTATTTATATGTATATAAATCAAAAATCATAGGAACTAGATCAAGAAATTAGGTCAATTTGTTGCATTTTAAAATTAGATATTTTGTTAAAGTTTTGATGTATGAGATAAAAGTCAAGAGACAAAAGTTGGTAAAAGAATTTCTTCCTATATACATATTAATCACATCATTTCAGTATATTTCAGTTCTCAGTTTATTTATTTGTTTCCTGCCTTCTCTTTTCAAATTGAAGCTTGTTCCAGCTGATTTGTGTTGAAACTTTAGCATTCGTCAGTATTATTTCTCTGGTCTTCAGTAGCCTGCAGACATGCCACTCAAGCATAATAAACATTACAGCAATGGTGGAAACACAAGCAGATACTTATGATTACACTCATGAACTCACTCACACATAAGGACGCTCCCCTGCATAATGCCCTCATTTCTCATGACCATGCAGACAAGCAGGCCTAATAACCATAATGACATTCAACTCAAGTGCTATTGATCTCTTGGTAATGGACTAGGCAATGTGAGCAGCAGCAGAGCACTGTTATCCTCCACCAAAATGCAAATGAAAATCAACAATGACCTGTTTTTACACATTGTGCTCCCCATCCATGTTGACGCCAGCTGACGCAGCTATAATAGCTAAACAGTTTATGACCCTCAAAGAGGCAAAGCAGATGAGATAACTCAAGCTGTTGTAAAAATCAGATAAGTTTTGTCAGACAAGAGTCATCTGTGATGTACCAATGATAAAAAAGCAGAGGTCGTTAAAGTACTTGAAAAAAATAACTAAGTAAAAGTAAAATTACATGAACAGAAAATGACTTTGATAAAAATAAATTTGACTGATGAGAAAACTACTCAAGTAAAAGTCATAAAACTGTTCAAAGAATTTGGGAAATTAAAAGTAAAAGTGCTTTTACACACTCTGTTGAATTTACTGAACCAAACTGGTTCCACTGAGCCATTTGAGTAAATTGAGCAATATATGTATTTTATTTGCTCATTTTACTCAACTAGGCTTAGTGGAGCCAGTTGACATGACTTTGTTGAGAAAATTCAATGCTTCATTTTTTAGAGTGCATAAACCTTTATTCATAATGATTTCAAACATTTAATTTGTAAAGAGTAACTAGGTGTTAAATTTTAAAGTAAAGAAGTAAGCATATATTTTTTAGCTTTAAAATGTAACAAAATAAAAGTAAAAGTAGCTTTTAAAAAAATAACTGGTAAAATTACAATTCCTCAAAAAATGTAATGCACTTACTGGTAGTTTCTATAAACCTCTGAAAAAAAAAAGTCCTGCAGATGTTTTCTTTTTTTTTCACACTGTAACTAAGTTGCATACAAGCTTATAGGTAAAACTGGTGAGAGTGATGTTCATATGATCTATACCAGGGCTATTCAACTAAATCGCTCCGGGGGCCGAGGTTACTTGAAGCCCACAGCTTGAAGACCAACATCCACCAGCCCCTGGGGAGGCTGCCCATCTATGRTAGGTGAAACACTGCAGCATGTAACAGAACAAGTATTATTATTAGTTGTTGTTGTTGTTATATTTAAATTAACAAATGATTTGAAATCTATTTTTATATTAAATGAAGTTTAAAAATATTAAAAACAAATACCAATTATGGTATTTTTTTTTCTTTTT